TCAAAGTCAAACTCTGCACTTAAACAAGGTAAAGAATTAACATAAAGAAAGGGATTAACATAATAATTAACATAAAAAAGGTGTAGAAACCTATCATAGAATCAGAGAATATCTCCAGCTGGAATGGACCTGTAAGGATCACCCAGTTCAACTCCCCACTCCTTGCAGGACTACCTGCCACTATGCCACATGACTAAGAGCATGATCCAGGCACTTCTTGAAATATTACCCCATGGACAATATTTTTAAGTGTTTCTTTCTGGAAAGTTGGATATATTTTTATAAGGAAGGAAACAGTGATAAAGCAAAGGAAGAAAACAATGACTCATCACAGAGATAATATAAATAACAGGCATTTTTCCAGTTATTTTTATAACGATATACTGTTATCCAGGAAGTATGGCTGGACTAATTATTTTTTTCTTACAGAATTCATTATTTAAACAATAGTCCAAATATGCATGTTGGTTATTTCCAATGAATACTGAGGCTTAATTAACAAGAACCTATTAAAGGATAGTACAAAAGGTTAATGAGTGTATCTGTAAATCAGCAGTCATGGAGCATACATTGGTCTGCTATATCTCAGCCAAAATATTAAGTTCCAAATGCTCTTGGGTCATCAGACTGGGCCAGGCAACATCTGCATCTGTGACATGCATCCTTGTGTGCAATCTCCCAGATAGGTGCTTTCCTTACCTCGAATGTGGTGCCTATGGTCCCATCACTTGAAACAGTCTGAGACCTCCTGAGCTCCTGGTGCTTGCTCAGACACCTACCAGGAGAGTGATGACTTTGGCTCTCCAGTTTACTCTCTCATTTTAGCATGCTATTCTCAATTTAACATGTCAAAAGTGTGGAGAAAGAGAGCTTTTTTCAAGCAGTTGGCTGCTGCTTCTCTCCAAGGAAACTTGGTTAGATCTCACCACACCTTCCAAGCCCAAGGGTGATGTTGCACTACGGACCTAGAGATTTGCCCTTCACAGCAGAGCTCTTCAGGCCTCAGCTTGCACCTCCCATGCATTCTGGGTCTTGTTTGACCTTGCTATAAGCTCTTTCAGCTCATCAAGGAAAGTACTCTGCATGTCTGCTGTCCTGTGCTGCGATGGCTCTCTATAGAAGCAAGCAGACCCAGTGCCAGCTCCAGGGTGAGGGTGGCCCTGCCCAGCTGGGCACATGGTGTTGAGGGGCTGTGACAGGTCCTGGGGGAACTGACTCAGGCTGCTAATGAAGCTCAGTCTGAAATTTCATCTCCTTTACCCTTCACTGTTCCTGTGCTTGTATTGCAGAGGGTGTTTTTTTTCACCAAATTTCCTTCCTTTTAAAATTGAGCCTGTGTCCCTTTGGTTATATGATTGGGTTGAGGAGCTACAGACCCTTTTTCCTTCTACTAACTACAGTTGCACTGGTGCCTCATGGGGCTTGTAAAGCAGCTGAAAGGCCATCAAAGTGACCAGGCTGCCTGTGACAGCTTCTCTGTGGTGGTTACTCATCCACTATCATGTTCTTCCCCAGTGTTCTGCAAGTGCCAAAGATTCACTTGCATTGAAATCCATTAACGTGGAAGCTAGGGTTTAAAATTGAAAATCAACGTCACAATTAGATTTTTGTTTCATGAGCATATGTGAATGTTGAACTGAAACTTGAAAGTAATTCTTAATTTCTAGAGATAGAAAGTAAAACTGAAAAATCCTGAAGACTACTCTTCAAGACAAGTGAGTCTCCTTTATTTCTAGCAACTACTCTACTATTTTGTTTTGAAAAATTGCCCCATTTAAAAATCTGTCCAAATACTTAATTTGACTATTAAGATTACTTTTTCCTGGGACCTAATTCTTCCTTGCTAATCCAATTCTTTTTTTTTCTTTTCCTGTACCTCTTTTCCTTTCCTGAGTGGATATGTCAGATTATTAATGACCTTCCTTCATGCAGCAACATTTTACATCTTTGCAGACTGTTATTTTGTCCTGCTTCAGGTTTCCCTCCTGTGGACTAAGATCTTCCAGCATATCTTAAAAAGACATACAATTTTTCTGCATCTTCCTGGGGTTGTGATATTCCTTTAAAGGTAGAACACTAGCAGGTTTGACATTATCTGCACTTGAAAAGCCTTCTCCTTCCATTAAATGTTTTTTTTTTTTATTGTTGCAAAAAGGAAACAGATTCCTAAAAGGCACGTATGGTAAAGAGTCTTTTCAGTTTGCACAGCAGAAGTAAGAGAGGAACGTTGAACACAGATGGTAACATGATTTTATGGACAGAATAACAAAGTGGCAACATAATGCATTGAGGTGTTTGTCTGGACTATGTTTAGGTAAGGCCTATAGCTATTTTACTCTCAGCTGTTCTCACAAATCTTATATGAAATGAGGCTGGGCTGATACTGAACACTTCAAGGCGTAAGGGTCCGATAATGACCCTCTGTCTTTCTATGTCAAATGTGTAAATGCACATCTCAGTCAACAGAATGTTACACAGAGCATGATTTGGAGTATATTGCCTCACAGCCTTCAGTCTGAATATACACACATAAGATGAAGCTGATTTAATTTTAGTGCACAGCCTTTCCTTGCTCTATTTCCTGTTACTTCTCAGGGTGGTTAACACTTTTGACCATTCTACTACAATCAAGTTATTTTTTGAAGATTTAAATGAAAAACTTTGGTGTATTTCTGCCTTCTTTATGTTAACTCAGTACTTCATTGAACTATACTTTCTTTTAATCTTGTTTTCCTTTTGTTCTAGTATGTTTATAGAGTACATGACTTTTTCTTGATTTGTAATAAATTGTAGATGTGAAAACAATATGCACCTTTTTTTTTCCCTACTAATAACATTGCATAGCTACTAGCATGATATAGGCTAGATCATAGTTATCAACCCCATCAAAAATATTTATATTTTTTTTTTTTGTGGAAAATGTAAGCCAATTTTATGACAATATGATAAATGCCTTTTCATTACTCCCAAAAAACTTACTGACGTTTTATAATTTTAGTTTAGTTAATTTAATACCCACTATTCTGGATAAAATAAAAAATCTGCAGATTTTCATGTATTCCCTTGCTAATTAGTGAGGAATAATTTCATAATTCCATATCATGAGATGGTTTTTCATTCAAAGGAAATAAGGATTTTATAGGTGTTAGTGTATTTTGTCATAATCTGAAAAAGAAAATTCTGTTAAATTTGCCTGTAATTTCCTACCATCTGTACCTAGCATTTCCTTGTAATTTCTTATTTCACAATTAAATTTCTCCTTTTTATTTTAATCCTGTAGTCTTTCTTGGGGAACTAACTCTTGCATTGTTTTTCTGCTGAGCAGCCAAGTAGGAACAAATCCAGTACTTAGAAAGTGCAAACGTCTTGGCAACAAACAGGAGATTATGCCATTTTTTCTTGCTATCACATTTTTTGCTACAGGTGCTGAACAAATATGTTGCTACACTTCAAATAATATTTTCACATGACGGATTTTTTTCCATTTAGCAGTTTTTCTAAACAAAAGAAAATATTTTCATGGCAAAATATCTACTGTGATAAAGCCAGATTTCTATGCAGTTATAGAGGCAGTCTCTCACGGTCTGGAGAGGATTGATGTTTCTTTTAGGTTTCCACCTATATACATTTGGAAACCAAACTCCTGCATGCTTGCTCTGTGATCTGGGTAAGAAGAGATTTGTGACATTTCCTGAAATTGTGGCTGGATCTTGTGCTGACTGATGAGACTGACCTACTCCACAAGAAAAAAGGGGCATTATTTTAAAAACATTTCTCAGATAGCTTTGGATGCTGTTCTCCTAGTTGCATTTATGCAGAAATGAAGGTCAGTGGGACAGTGGTTATCTGATTTAGGAGGGAAGAAATTTTTATAATTCACTGCAGAGTGAAATTCACTTAAATCCTGCAAAATTCAATCCTGTCTCACCTCATACACAATATGAGACTGACATGTTTTCCTGATGGCATTTTTACACCATATAATTAAAGTATAATATTTAAAAACTGAGGCTGAACTTCTGTCTTTGGCATTTAGCTGTTGATTTAATCCCATGAGCTCTCCAAATGTATCTTCAGGAAAGACAGCAGGAGAGTATTGAGATAGAACCTTTTTTGTATCACCTGTTTTCCCAATGGTGCACAGTTTGCCTTCAGTGAAAAGGCATTCTTTTTTTGTAGGCAAAATTTGTGCTGGTGATCTTCTTTTTTTGAAATGTGGCATGTGACAGAGTATTTCCTCATTTAGCAAGCAGAGCTTTCTGTTCAACTACCCAGGCTTTGAAACTGAGGACAACCGGTCACTGTCCTCTCTTCAGCAGG